GCTGCTTGGCCAGTAACTGCATGAATGCACCGTATTGCACCAAAACAGAATGAATATCGCACCAGGACTGTGTTCTCACAGTTCTAAAATCTCTAAGATTCACACAGGAAAGTTCTTTGGATGTTCCCCAAAGTTGTGTGTAACCTGGAGGCATAGTAAGTAAAGTTCTGTGTTACTGCTTTTCTCAGAGCTTTTACTAGTATCCAAGGGCTTTTGTAAGTCCTCGTGAAGATAGTTGCCTGTAGGCAGGATCATATAGTGTAAAAGTCGTCGTGACCAGCATGCCAGATAATTTCATGGTGATGTTTAGTAATTTTTACAACCCTAAAACAACTGTAACGTGGCCTTTGTGTCATGCTTGGAGATCTACAAGATTTTTCCAGAATTATACAAAATCCTCCATCCCTGTTATACAAGAGAGTCATATCCTTCACAAGTGCATAGTTTCTCTTCTCTGGTGTCCACCATGAACAGGGAAAGGACGACTTTATCTCTCAGAATTTAAAAAATAGCTACTCAAATAGTAGAGGTCTGATTTCTGTGTTTGTCTTTCTAAAAGACATTCCTGAGTTCCATGGTTCCTATGATAAAAACACTCAGTAATGATCTGAAATGTGTTTTGTATAGGCTCCTATACCATGATTTGTAAAAGCAGTTTCTCAAGACATTCCAGAGCTGGACACGAATGGGGACACTCTCTTTCTTCCAATGGCATAAAGCTCCCAGGATACTGGGGATGCAAGGGATCCATGTGTGAACGCTTTGCAGAGAATCGGATCCACGCCGAACCCCTGGCAAGTGCCGCTTTGGAGTGTCACAAAGAGCCACGGCAAAGCCCCAGATCCAGAATATTTGACAGCCTCTAGTGATGCCGTAAAAATTTTTTTTCTATGACGTAGTTAACCGTGATTCTGAAAGACAAAAGGCTTTTGATCACAAGCGTCGTTTGAAAAGTGTGTTTCAGATTTGGGCATAATGCTTTCAGAATCAGTTATTGTACAGTTTGTGCTTCCAAAATTCCTTTTCACGCTTGGATTCTGCCTCTAAATATAAATCTCTTCCTCCTTCCTTGTCCTGTTCTATATATATAGCACACCCACATGTGATAAAGCCTTCTGCCATAGTGGTAAGGCAAGGGGGGGTGGGGGGAGGCTGTAGCTAACCTGTGGGAGCACTGAATGCACTTGGCTGCTTCTCATAATGCTCCAAAGATATAATTATCACATGCGTGATGAGTACTACACCTGCCACATCCCTTTTGGGGAAATAAATAAAAGATTCCTTAAATGCCACACAGTTCCCTTACTGGGAAACCATTAGCCAGAGAGGTCACCAGAGGACTTGGCACTCCCTGTCCTTCACTTTCCACCAGGCAGGTTCCCCATGACATCTCTCTTGTTCTCTTTTTTCCTCCCCCCACAACCTTTTCCTGTGAAAGTGGTCACCATCTCCTTTTCAGTGCCCAGCTTTCTCTTATGTTGGGATTTTTTTCTTCTTTCTCTTTCCCCTGTCTTTGTCTGAGCCTTCTTTCCTGTTGCCTGTAAATCTGATCCATTAATCTTGTAGGTGGGGCTCACCAGGCAGGAATTCTCAGCGAGAAGTTGGGATAGCATTAACATTAAGGGCGTGCTCTGTAGATGCTTCACTCCTCGTCCTTGTCGAAGATTGCTTTGTCTCTGCAGCATAATTTAGCATTCTGTTCAGCCAGAGCTTTATTTCTTCTTTCTCAAAAGAGTTCTTGCGTGTGTCTAACCACACTGCTGCCTAGTATGTGGCCTCGACAAGCTGCCTGTGACACA